TCACACATCCCCAGACGGCTCTCATGTTATTCTCCCTCAGTTTCTTCTCCACTTTTCTCTTGTAGATGTCTTTGGCTTCCCTCACACAGTGTTTTACTTCCTGTGGTGCTGCCTTCATTGTTTCTGCTCATGAAGGCAGCCTTTTTCCTGTTTAGGACAGCTTTGACTTCTGTCGTTAACCAAGGCTTGTTATTTGGGTAGTAGCAGACAGGTGTGACCAGGTTAGTGCAGAAGTTCAGATAGTCCGTCAGATTATTCCCTCGATGTCCTCACCATGCAATCAATCGGCACATCCCAGTTTGTGGTATTAAAGCAGTCCCTCAGGGCACTTTCCATCTCAGGGGTCCACCTCCTGGTGGTGCGGTGGTCACAATCACTGTCCCCCAGAAATCTGCGGTTATATTTTTTATATTTTTTTAAAACCAAGCTACCGGCTACCATTCCTTCATCCTGTTCGCTGAACTGCTGCTAGTTTTCCTCACATGCCTGGAAGATGTCTAGTGCTGCTACCACAGATGATCTCGATCTCCAAATGGAATTGAACGATTCAGATTAGCTAGAATGAATAGAAGGAGTAGAGCGTAGCCGCCTGTGGCCCGGGCTGCCTGTTACAACTCCAGTCCGGCGCGCGGATGACGTCATACACACGCTGCTTTGTTTTTAAAAGATATAGATATAAAAGATATAACCACGGATGTCTGGGGGCAGAGATTCGCCTAGATATTATGAATGCTGGCGTACCATAAAGAATAAATTATACAGAATTAATTATACAGTTTAGTTTGTGCCTTCAAGTTGTTGCCCATAGGAAGACGTTACTTGGAAACTCCAAATGACACAAAACTCATATGGGTGAGTAGAACATGATGTAATAACGTAAAATCAAGGGGCCAATGTAAAAAAAAAAACAGTGTTCCCCCTTTAACTATGAACTTGTTCTTTTTAACTATGAACTGGCACAACATTAGAGGGGGGGGGGGCACAGGGAGAACAGCTGGTACCATCTAATCAGCAGCTTCTGACCTTAAGTGACCTGACCTGTGTTTTGTGACTATGCAACTCAGGTTTAGCAACATCAATCAACCAATTAGGGAACCATTCTCAGATGTCCTTCACCGGACAGAGAGGTTGAGTGGAAACGCTGTTCAATCCAGACACTAACGTCTAAAAATAATCTATGGCTGTCAGTTCATGGTTTTATTAAATGATCCTGGATCCACACTTCTGCTCCCACAAGCATGCATTCTTTGTTGAAGCAGAAAAACATAAGTATAGGAGGCAGCTCTATTGTTGTACCCTGTAATTTACTGATGTAACATTTCTTTTAAAAGTCCATGTATGTGCTTTGCTAAACTTTGATCAACCATTCCCTCTCTGCAGGGGATTTTTTCTCCTTTTTAAACTATTAGTAGACAGTTGTCCCCTAACTCTCGCCGTACTTCTCTGTGTAAGACAGATTACTTCTAGTTGAACTCATTTTGCAGACCTTCAGTGCGTGCATGCTCCACCCTTTTCTGTTGGAGGAGGGGAGGTTTTAATTTGCAGTGAGCTGAGTTAAAGGAGATCGTCTTTCGGAGCACATACAGAGGTTTTGCTACGAAAAGCAACATTTCAACAAAACTTGAAATCCTTTCTTGATCTTCAGCCGTAGCATTATTTAAAGCAAAATTGTTTTTTTTTGTTTTTTTACCGTAGTGCTTTAGCTGCCGTTTTTCTCAGCTGTGGTTTAGCTTTGAAAACAAAGTGTGGCTTCTCTGCTAAACTAAAAGCATGAAGAGTGAAGGATTGCATCATTCAAATCTGCTGAGTTGGGTCAGGTTTAAAATTCTTCTTTTGTCTTTGTGGATACAGCTTTCATAATAAAGAACGTGTGTTGCTCTCCCTGGAATCCTGCAGCAACACTTATTTTCCTCTGAGGATCTTGTTTTTTTTCTGAAGAAGAATTCTTTCTTTCTCTTGGCTCTTAACTTATACCTCAAATCCTTTATGTGTAAATTTGAAATAAGAGGTCTGGACAAAGGTGATATCAGCAGATACTCTCAGATCTGTTCTTTTTTTTGACCAACATGGAATGCTCAGCTGCGATTGCTAAAGCCTGGACCAACTCTAGGAGCAAGTGGTCCCGAAACAGGAGGTCCTCCGCACAACAGCCATGGGGGCTGCTGAACAGCGGCAGATGTGGTAGAGATGTGTCTGCATCGTCTCTCCTGCACAGCTTACTGATTCACTGGTGCTGTTGCCAGTCTCAGGAGAGGAACACACAGTTGTGTCAGAAATGGAGAGACTGTCCAGTGGATGGAGCAGAGAACCAAGGGGGAAAACATGAGCAAGGTGAGGCTACGGGTCTCTCTGAGCATAAGCTCTTGATTTATCATGCAGCCCAAAAAGATCTGAACAGTTCTAGTTTCTGAAGAATGACAAACATTTTTAAAATATTTAATTGAATTAGTTTTCAGAGCCTTTTGTTAGAGGTTAGGAGGTGATCCAAAGTTTCTCCTCAGGTTTATAAATGCCTTACCATCAGACTTTCATAAATTGGAAGAATTTAAATAAAAGTAGCTGGGGAATTATTAAAAGTTAATCATCATATATAGTCTAAACCATCTAAAGAATATTGGAAACTGCCTTTTAAGGTTGCACCTTTAGATGTCTGCCTGTGGGAAACGACTGATGTCATTTGATCTCATTTATGCAAATAATTGCCAACATGCAGTCGTGCAGCTAGAGTTGCAGCAAAGGCAGAACTACAAAGCACTGACTCATAGATTGCCATGAACCAATGACCAGTTGTTGCTTCCTTTTATTCAGAGGACAGCAGGCCTTTTTATTAGCTTGTTACACTCATTGAATTAATTTGCTGTTTCCCAGCAGACTTATTGAAGCTATGCAGCAAACAATGAAAGATCTAAGCCTCCTTAAGAAGTGTTTTCAGTTTTCTTGTAGACAGCTTCACAGTTATGCCTCCAGATGAGCCTGGTGTAAATTCTGAGTTATTTGTACTGCTCTACCTCTACCACATCATTTCTCATGATGACAATAGAGAAACTGACAAACATCTTGGCTGTTTTATTGACATTCATGATGAGATGACCAGCTTCTTATCCATCATATACCCCAAGAACATAGTCTGTAGATGAACTGAGTCTGTCCCGCACAGACTGTTGTAGACAACCTCCCTTTAAATACAGATTCTGTGTGTGCTATTGCTATCACCATTGAGTTTGAAGCCTCTTTGGGAAAGGGATATAAGAGAGCAGATTTGTTTTGCTTATTCCATTACAGCACTTTATACACTGCCTGGCCAAAAAAAAGTCGCCACCAAAAAAAAAGGTCACTCACTCTAATACTTTGTTGGACCGCCTTTATCTTTGATTACGGCACGCATTCGCTGTGGCATTGTTTCGATAAGCTTCTGCAATGTCAAAAGATTTATTTCCATCCAGTGTTGCATTCATTTTTCACCAAGATCTTGCATTGATGATGGTAGAGTCTGACCGCTGCGCAAAGCCCTCTCTAGCACATCCCAAAGATTCTCAATGGGGTTGAGGTCTGGACTCTGTGGTGGCCAATCCATGTGTGAAAATGATGAGTCATGCTCCCTGAACCAGTCTTTCACAATATGAGCCCGATGAATCCTGGCATTGTCATCTTGGAATATGCCTGTGCCACTAGGGAAGAAAAAGTCCATTGATGGAATAACCTGGTCATTCAGTATATTCAGGTAGTCAGTTGACCTCATTGTTTGAGCACATACTGTTGCTGAACCTAGACCTGACCAACTGCAGCAACCCCAGATCATAACACCGCCCCTACAGGCTTGTACAGTAGACACTAGGCATGGTGGGTGCATCACTTCACCTGCCTCTCTTCTTACCCTGATTCTTGAGCTCTATTGGTGAGATACAGTAGACTGCATGAGCTGATACTACTGCTTCACTCAGGGACCTGGGAATATTCAGAAACACAGGTTGCATGAACCTGTCCATGATGAGCAAGAATGAACAGAACAATGAAGAGGAAAAACTTCCCTTTGGAAAGAAACCTCTGTTTGAACCAGGCTCAACATGGCGGTCTTCTGCCGGACTGGTTGAGATGTGACTGGGAATGCAGTAAGAGTCCAGGAGGAATTGAGCTCTGATGGGGACGAAGTACAAGAAGCACCGTGGAAAAGTCAGATGAAGCTTTAGCTACGATGGTAGAGAAGGGGATAGAGTTGGGTTGAATTGGTTTCATCTGAACCAAAGTTTGACATAGTGCAACCACTGACTGCGCTTTGGCTGGGTGGCAGAGTGGGTTCTGGATTTGGAGATGCTGATTGAGCTTTGTGGAGGTGTGGTTTAAAGCTGATTGGCTTCTGCCGAAAGCGGACAAGTTATTCCGTTTTTTTCAGTTGAACTTCCGTCTAGGCTTCATTTCAATCTGAAAAACTCACACGGAAAGAAAATCATAAGAATTTTATTAATACAATTAATTTAGTCTTTGGTGCTCAGACCTCGGCAAGAAACATTACCGTTGATCTTTGCTTTGATATGCATAAGCAGGGGTATAAGAACAGGGATGTTTTCCCCCAAAAAACTGCAGAGGTTGAGGCCAATACATCAGCATGCTCGGAAGGCAGAGCCTTGAGTTTAAAGCTTAGAAACATAGAACAGCAGGATAAGTAATAGAGGATATGTGCCATGAAGGCCCACCAAAAGAGGGCAGTTGCTGCAAAGGCCTACAAAAAGTTTCATAGAAGGAAAACTGAGATGAATGATGGGATCAAAGAGGGAATAGAAGATAGAAGATGAGAGAAAAAACCTGATGTGATCAACCATCTAAGGAGTTACAGGAGTGTGATGTGAGGATGGGTTATTAAACACAATTCGAGAGAATCAAACATACAGGGATCTGGTGAAAGATGTGAATAAGTTTCGAAGCCACCACCAGTATTTGCATTTAGCTTACCCTTAAACGCTGAGAGATCGTTGAGGAGATAGGATGGATAAATGCTCAGGTCCGATATATGAGGCTGATGATGACCATCGGCCCAGTTGCTGGAGAGAAGCAACAGAGACGAACAGCTGCTGTTCTGGCTGCTCCTATACTGAATGAATGGCTGGAATAACGACTAGAAGGAAGGCCACAGGATCCAACAGTTTTCTGAAATGTGTGCTGACATGGGAGAACGCTCAGGTGTAATAAAAAGAGCTTTGAATGCGGGAAAATTCGGTGGCTTTTTGAACAAATTTAAACATGGCATGTAAAGAGCAGAATGGGTCATCTCTTTGAGTGACGGAAATAGGGCAGGAGCCTCTCCCTTCAGTGTGTTGCAAGAATAATTTGTAATGGTCTAGATTAAAATGAAGGTCTGGAAGTGACAAACCTTTGGATGGATTGAAGTGACTATTAGGTGAAGTGAATTCTCCTAGTCTCAAAAAGCCATAGAAAGAAGGTACTGGACAGAAGAGACTGACGTGGGATGAGTTAGTGCTGAAGGAAAGTGAGTACAAAAGTTTTCTAAGGATTGGCATGGATTAAAGTATTCCGTCCCGTCGAAAATAAATTGACGTTAAATAAATTTTAAAAAAGAAAATGGAAATCCCTCTTGCGTTTGTCAGGCAATGGTAGCAAAGGAGCGCTCTGCAACTAACACTATTAGCCAAACAGAAGAAGAAGGGGGCGTGTCTTAGGAAGGCGTGTACCTCCTCCTCTCGTTTCTTGCTTAAGTCGCTGAATAGATTGTGGTGCGGTGCTGAAGTTCTACACGCCATTTACGACTTCATTCAACGGAGAGACGTGTTAAAAGTCAAAAATAAATAAATAAAACTTTGTGTTTGGAGAGAAGGACGATAGAGAGAACGGAATTGCATGGAGTGGGCACAATGTAGTTCCTGAACTTTGGCACGCTGTGCTCCAGGAAGCTCATTTACGCATCCAGCGGTGAAAAGGAGCTAAGCAAACATGAATTAGACTCTGGTCATCAGCTGCTGTTAGTGCGGCCGTGCACACTACAAGTTTGCTGGGGCCTGCGGTAACAGCTGATGTACCAGCGTTAATAACTGACCCTGTATGAAAGTTAAAAATAAGGGTGTGTACTTTCATCACCAAACACGACATCCCATACACACTAGATATAGATGCACTTTTACCATCTTCTGGCTGTTTTTGGTATTGGATCAAAAGTCAAATTTAGTCTTCAACCATTCATTCATTCTGGCATGGCTTAAAAATACACACACAAATATATATATATATATATA